CTGTTTGTCTGTGGTTATGGCATACATTATCGGCATTACCACAGTTAAGTGAACATATTTTCCGAAATTATTATAAAGCAGTGAAGTGAAGGGATGTATTAGCTAGCAAAAGAAAAATCAAACGCACCAACAAATGTTACTTGAGCCGAGTTATTAACGAAAGAGAAAATCGATTAAGAGAATCGATCAACGCTGTTAGGCCCTTAGGATCTTAGGATTATGAACGCCTGACATATTTAATGGAAAAAAATCACATAACTGTAAATCCTACCACAAAACCACATGAAAGTTATGAGATAAGATATATAAAAAAATCGTATAACACTCATGTGATCGAATAAATTGAGCGTTCAGAATCATAAGGGCCTATCTGCGATGATCTCTTCGCATTACCACACCCGTAATGAAAATCAATTAAAATACCATGATTTTAATTTTCATATCATGTAACCATGATATTTACTGTCAACACATTGGACATATTTGTCGATTACTGTAAAATCACAACGAAGTTCACCAAAATGGAAATCATGATATTTGAGAAATTTACAATAAAAAGTTAATCTTAACATCTTTAACATAAAAACTGTTTTTTTTTCTCGAACAAATTTGATTGTATCACATTAATTTTCATTCTTTGAGCATTGTATCGTTAAAAATCGAAATTTTTGCACTCAAAATTCAACAGTAAAAATCATAGTTATTTCGATGTTTTATTATATTTATTTTTTCGGGCAGTTCAGTGACCCAATTATCCGAAATTCACACAATACAGTGAAGAGAAAGTTTGACAATTGTCACAAATGGCAACAAAAAGCCTAACCGATGTCGATTTGGTTCTAACTAGTTTTCAATCGGACAAGTAGGCTTACTCAGATCAGGCTTTTCCACTGCCGCTGCCGTTCCGCTTCCGCTGTCATTACGCTTGGGGCTTTAGTTGTGTCGCCCGAGTGGCTGACAACTTGAGTATTTACGATTCATCTACCCGTCTTGAAAAGGTGTATTTTGTACTTTTCCGTATTTATGTATTTCTTTAAGTTTTGTGTATTTTTGTATTAAGGTGTATTAAATTCATTATGAAATGTATTTTTCGTATACAAAGTATTGTCGAGCTATTTTTATTAGGGTATTTTAGTTTCAGTGTGTACGCATTTACGTATTTTTTTGTGTATTTTCCAAAGTGTGTATTTACATTCAGCTGAATTATGAAGTTGATCGCCCCTCCGTGTTGCCTCCCTCGGTAAGTTGTGCAACGCCAGCGCCATCATATTGTTGAAGTGTTAAGTTGTTAAGTGGGGAAGTCAGCGTTGGTGGAGCCGAATAGGAATTGGAAGATTGCCGTAAAAGCTCAACGCAGATGTCGCCACTGCATGATGATGATCTGTCAACATAGACTGCATATAAAATTCGTGAAAATTCGCGTTAAATCATAATTTTCATCAAGCCTGTGTAAAATCCTTCCAATATAACATTCGAATTGAAGAAGAAAACGTTTTTACGATCAGACTGATATGCATCTTTGACTTTTCCAGGTGAACTTTCATTAGATATATTCATTTCATTTCGCGGCTCCATCAATGCTGCATTGTAAATATGTTGTAAACAGAAGTAAATTGCTCAATTACTCAAAATAAAGATGATTTTTCATCTTGTTATCACTTTGAAGACCATCTAGCACCATTTTATAGTATGGTGCGTGTTGAGTAAAGCAAGTTCCGTTGCGTTTTCCGTCGAAAATTGTGAGTATCAATATGTTTGCTTAGAAAAGGCCAAAATGAACATTTATTTAATATTGGCTTCCTATACAACCAATTCTCCATTACCACCAGCATGATACAACCTTTCATAAGTAAATTAACTTAATTTCCACTTTCATCTTAGTGGAAATCGCACATATTCACCATTTTCCGAAAAATGCAGCTGCGCAGAAGGGAAACCTCTCGCTGTGGGTGCAAACTTATTATGCATAATTTTCCATGAAAACCTCTCCGATCCATACCGAAATAATAACAATTAGTTTTCAAACACGTTTTCTTACACGATTCAAGCAAAAGTTTCCACGAGAAATTATTAGTTTTTCTTTATGGACCGATTTGCCCCAAAACTCGTCTGTTTTACTTGAAAAATTTGGAAACTATCCTCCTTCTAGTAGTTCTCACTTCGAAATGTAGGAGGCGAAAGCTTGGAAAAGTTTCACTGCAAGACGCCAGTCTTAAAACACGTGTTTTTTACGGAACTTTTGTTCGAGCCTCATCGTCTGTTCTATGCTGTTCTATGCCGTACTACAAACGACTGTTCAATTTTGCGAGTCGTAGTTATCGAAATTACAATCGTTTTCTCTATAATCGACACGTGAGACGCACGGAAGCGAACCTTCGCACGAATCCGAAAAGTTTTTGGTCGTTTGTCAACTCAAAACGGAAGGAATCCGGATTGCCTTGTTCCATGTTTCTCGGGAATGACTCGGCTAATAGTGAAAGAGAAAAATGCGACTTGTTTGCTCGTCATTTCAAGCAATTGTTCAATGATTTCTCCGCTTCGCCAACATGGATGCTGGATGCTGCTGTTGGGATGCCACGTGATGTGTTTAGTTTCGTTATTCCGCGCATTTCAGAAGACATGGTGATAGCCGCAACACGCAGACTGAAGCTATCGTTCGCCTCCGGACCTGACGGCATTCCGTCATCAGTTCTAAAACGTTGTGTAGCCAATCTCTGCCTTCCACTTGCGAGGCTATTCAATCTCTCGGCACAGCAATGTGAGTTCCCCTGCCGCTGGAAACTTTCTTATCTGTTCCCAGTGCACAAAAAAGGAGATAAACGGAATGTCATAAATTATCGTGGAATCACCTCCCTGTGTGCCTGCTCAAAACTGTTCGAGATTATCATAAATGGTGCTCTGTTCGCACGCTGCAAAAATTATGTCGATACAGAACAACACGGTTTCTACCCGAAGCGCTCCGTGTCCACGAACCTGGTGCAGTTCACTTCTAACTGTCTGCGATGCATGGATTCAGGATGGCAAGTCGATACTGCGTATATGGATCTAAAAGCTGCATTTGACACGGTGGACCATAATATCTTGCTGGCCAAGCTGGAGATACTTGGCATCTCGTCAACTGCTGTGGATTGGTTCAGATCTTACTTGGTGAATCGCTATGTACATGTCAAGATTAGCGCGTCGGAATCGGATGTTTTCTCAAACAACTCGGGAGTCCCGCAAGGCAGTAACCTAGGACCGCTACTATTTTCGATCTTTTTAAACGATGTCGCCTTGCTGATACCATTTGGATGCCGCGTTTTCTATGCAGACGATACGAAAATCTACAAAATTATTAAAAGCCTCTCGGACTGCTGGGATCTCCAGAATATGTTAGGTATTTTTGCTGACTGGTGCTCAAGAAATTTGATGAGTCTAAAACGCTGTCCAGACTGGAGAGTTATAACATGTTATAACGGTTGTCAAATAATTGCAACACAGAAACCACCATCAAGATAGCGCTATAACATGTTATAACTCTGTAGTCTGAACGTACTATAAGCATAGAAAAATGTAACATTATTTCATATCACCGAAAAATTGAACCAATCATGTTTGACTATGTTCTCTACGGACGCTGTCTTGCTCGTGTAGAGCACATAAAGGATCTCGGCGTTACCTTGGACTGCAGACTCACTTTCAGAATCCGCTACACTGACATCATCTCCAGAGCTAATCGACAATTGGGCTTTATTTTCAAAATTGCCGACGAGTTTCGTGACCCGCTATGTCTCAGGTCACTTTACTGCTCGCTTGTGCGATCCTTATTGGAGTCAAGTTCAGTTGTTTGGTGCCCTTTCCATGCTAGCTGGATCACTAGAATTGAATCCGTTCAACGCAAGTTTGTGAGATATGCTCTTCGTTTCCTCAACTGGCGTGACCCAACGAACTTGCCACCGTACGAGGAGCGTTGCCGTCTCCTGGGAATCGAGCCATTAGAAGTGAGACGGACGGTCGCTCAAGCTACGTTCGCTGGAAAGCTGCTTACAGGTGACATTGACTGCCCAACACTGCTGTCACAGCTAAATATGTATGCCCCTGAGAGGTCTCTTCGTCAACGCGACTTTCTGTTTTTGGAACCACGGAGCCGGAATTATACACAACACGAGCCAATTCGAGCAATCAGCCGGCAATTCAACAACTTTTTTTATATGTTCGACTTCAATGTATCAGCTGACGTGTTTCGTAATCGGCTACTTGGCCTTTTCCGTACCGTTGACCGTAACTATTTAGTTTAAGTTTTATTCATTTAGACAGTATTTGTCAGTTGAATTTTTCAATAAACAATAAACAATAAACAATATTAAGTAAATATTCACCGAATTTAAAGTTAAAAAATAGCCTATTTTAAATATACCTCTATCTGATGGTGTCTTTGCATGTGCGAGCTGATGTTCGTGAGAATTTGACCCATACCCGAGCCCATACCCAAATAAAATATTACTATAAACGAAAGATAACCCAAATGATTGAACTATTCCACAAATGGTTTGTATGATACAGGGGACTGGCAACCCTATATCAATCCTATACGTTTAACAGTAGGCAACATCACGGGCCTTATTTAAATTCGGCCCGCCTGACGTATATATGGTGGAAAGGGACGGAAAATCGCGTTATAAGCAGAAAGACAAGAGCAGATGATAGCATCAAAAACATAGCCACTAGCCAGGCCCCTGGGATGATACCCCGAACACGTCGTAAAGTATACAATTTTTATTAGGGTAGTTTATAAAAGCAATATAGAAAAACCGGCAATTTGGCAGCTCTGAATCGAAATTATCCTCTCTTGCTATCTTTTTTTTTCGCACTGGGTTTCTACCAGAAATTGGACAATCCGTTACATGCCGCCCGTTAGCTGTCGAGCGCTTGCTCTCTCTCTCTCGGCCCGTCAGCCCGCAAACGGCAAAAGAACGACGTTTGAAAGTCAGCCGCCCATCACCAACGCCGTTCGCCGCCGCGTTCAGCTTTTTATTGTTTGACAGAAAGAGTCAGAAAACGGATGTACGATCATTCTCTTGCTAGTCCTAACGTGGTGTAAAGGTGCCGTGTTTCCATTTGCCAAGCAGTGAAAAATTAGTTTTATTCCGGAAAATCGCATTAAAATGGCCGACGAATACTTCTACGGTGAGTACGAAACTGTTTTCTATCGTTTTTGGTGGGTTTTACGTAAGATTCGGTTGTAATTCGAGCGTTTTTCAGAAGAAAGCTTCGGGTTGTCGCGCGTCGGCGTCTCCCGCTGCCATTTCGTAATGGTGAGCAAAGAATGGCTGCCGCCGCATCGCAAAAATCATGATGCGGGTTTTTTTTTCAACTGAATGATTTAATTAAAATCGCACTTGTTATCTAATCGTAAATTTGGAGAATAATTTGCGAATTGAAATTCTGGATGCCAACAGATCGGCCAGTGGCTGTGGGAAACATATTTTTTGCTTTTTATTTTTCTTATTCCCCTGTAAGCATTTTGCCGGCTCTTGTGGTGGCCCAGCCTTCCACTTGCTTACCGCGCTCACGAACTATCGGTGGCGTAGGCGCTTGTGTCTTTTTCGCGTTTTTTGTTTATTTTTCTTTCTTAGCTTGAAAGTTTGGTTATGGCAAGCCCGGGAAAGAGTGTGACAACAAAGTGGAGTAATTTGTTCATTCGTGAATCATAGGGTGTTTTGTATTGAATGATTTGCTGCTGCCCGCGTGGTTGGAGCGCTAAATTGGTTAGGTTTTGATGCAATAAAAGGACTAATGAGGAACTTTTTTTTTTTCTAACAGGAGCTACCTTGAAGGAAGGTAACAAGACAGTGACATGGGACCCAGACACCAAAGCCGAAGGTTACCCACGTACACACAAGCTGATCATCAAGCAGTGCATTCTCGGACACGAGGCTGCCGCTGATGAGTTCAATGTAGTGCAGGTAGAAACCATGACCATTCGGGATACACTGCGCATTCCGATCGCCGTGCTCAAGGTTGGCGAAGCCCGACAGTGTCGTTTGGACCTGGAATTTTCCGACTCGCCAGTGACGTTCACGTTGGTCGAAGGCAAGGGACCGGTCCACATCCATGGACAGCATTTGCTCGGATCACTGGTCGAGGAGTTCGAGGATATGGAAGAAATGGAAGAGGAAGTTCCAGAGGAAGAAGAAGATGATGAGGACGATGATGAGGAGGGTGGCCCACAGAAGAAGAAACAGAAGCTTACCAACAATTCCAAGGGTAAGCCTGCCGGACCCCCTGCTGGCAGTAATAGCGCCAAAAACAGCAAAAAGAAATAAGCTGCTAGTTCCTGACTGAGTCCCTCAGAATACAGCGAACTAACACACCCACACACTGACTGTAAGTGTTTCGTTCGTTTTCTCTTCCTCTTTCCTATCCCATCAGAACAACCCTCCTCCTCTTTTTTTTTTTTAACTAAACATACAAAATACACATTTAGTAGAACAGCAACATACAACAACCAATAACGATTGTAAGTCGAGTAAAGTGATTTACCAAGCTATAATCGCTCGGAGTAAATATTATACCGTTCCTTTTTCATTCAATAAATTCAACCAGAACGGAGGGAGCAAATTGCTTCCTCAACTAAAATCTACACATTAATATTTAAAGAAACAGATAAAACTTAGATTGTAAGAGACCACACTTCCGGCTCCCTCGGTACCTTTGCTCGGTTTTCCCATTTCCGTAGTAGTATTTTCCTGTCGACGCCTGTACACACGCATCCGGGTAAGCTAACTACAAACAATTCAATTTGAGAGTGGAATCAGAGAAAATAATAATTTAAATTGAATTTTAAGGGATGGACATTAGTCTGTCAAAAAGGTGTGCTGTCGTCATAGTAGGAGGTAGGGTTGTTACCTTTTAACGAATAAGAATTGATCAGAACGTTGTGGGGGAAATAAATATGAACTTGCAAAGCCCAACCATCAGTAATCTTACAGTCATCGTAACCTATTGTCTAGGGGCGGGCTGTTGTTTTTGGACACCCATCATCATCAGAAGCGGGCAGTTGGCAGAAAAGTGTTGCGGGAAATACGAGAGCGGAGTAGTTAGAGGGGGCAAGGAGGTTCTACAAAACGTGAGAAAATAAAGAATAAAATCTCATTCGTTTTGGATTTTCACGTTTGCTGATCTTCGAAAGCCTTTCTGGGTTCCTCGGTTCGACGTAGGAACCCTTTCCTTGGGTAAGCTAAGAAATTTCTAATACTAAGTAGTTCATAGGACTTTTGGGGAACCTCCTGGGAATCCACGAGGGGTTATGCTACATTACCCCGAATATCACTTACCCGAACGTCATTATCCAGAAATTAAGACAAACGGGCAAACAACATGTGATCTATAGAAGGATACATTATATAGTTTATTTTATAGAAGCTTTTGTTCCAACTATGATGCGAATTTGTGTGGTTTTCATGCAGGCCTCTTACTCATTACAGCTAAAATATTAGTTTTCGAAATTATGAAACTATGAGTATGTTCAGGCCTATTCCCTGTGCTTTGGTCAGATCGCGTATAGGGCGTCGTTGTGCTAATTTGGTCGTGGCACATTGCGATTATGAGAGAGTGATTGCAGTTTGCTCAAAAGTGCCTGGTGTGGTGAGCGAACCTAAAGATGAAAAAGCCCCTTCTCGGAACGAGTGTATTGTTAATGATGCTTCAAAGTCGGTTTCTGTGATGGTTGGTATCACAATAAAAAGTGGTAAAATAGGTAGTACCATCTTACTCATAATCGCCAAAAGTGCAGGAACTCAGCGATGAGTTAATTTGCCTCATGTTTTCCCAGGTTTTTCCAGGATTTTCCAGGGAAAAATTCCCAAATTTGAGAAAAGTAAAGATTGGATCCACTCAGTCTATTGGTAGTACTCCGAGACTGAATAAAATTTTCGTCAATTTCCTCATTTTCGGCAGATTTTTTAGGTTTTCCACCGGAAACCATGAGACAAATTTTACTCATCGCTGAGTTCCTGCACTTTTGGCGATTATGAGTGAACTAAACTCAAATTTGAGTCGTTCTCATTCGCCGTTTAGCGAATCAAAACAAACATAGTGTAGTACTAGAATTTCAACTAGAATGGGGTACGTTAATCGTTTGCTTGGGACCAATAGGCTAGTCAAGTAGTGAGCCAATTTAAAATCGATAGTTTCGTATTGATTGTTGTTATAACTCTGTAGTCTGAACGTACTATTATAGTACGTTCAGACTACAGAGTTATAACATGTTATAGCGCTATCTTGATGGTGGTTTCTTTGTTGCAATTAGTTGACAACCGTTATAACATGTTATAACTCTCCAGTCTGGACAGCGTTTCAGACTACAGAGTTATAACATGTTATAGCGCTATCTTGATGGTGGTTTCTGTGTTGCAATTATTTGACAACCGTTATAACATGTTATAACTCTCCAGTCTGAACAAGGCATAAGAGCCATCTCATCTTTATCTATTTGATTGCTGCATGAAAGGTGTATAATTGGTCATCAACATTACACTGGCGACCAGACTCAATACTCCCTCCAGCATGGCACAATAACAATAACAATATATAAATAATCCAGTAATATTCAAACAAACCACTAAAAACCTGTATAGTAGCATGGAGGAGTCGGAATTTGAGACAAGCAGCGACTCGGACTGGGAGATTGATTCAGAAGACCTAGTTCCATCAGACTTCCTCGGATTTAGTAATGAGGACCCCATCATGAGAGGAACCGATTCTAATGACGAGGTCGGTCCAAGGCAACGACTATGACAACCCACAAAGCATCCCCAGCCAACAGATGATTCAGCAATAACAACCCACAAAGCATCCCCAGTCAACCGATGATGATTCAGCAACACAAGTAAGCCCAGAATTCATAGGTAAGTTCACACAATCGTAATATTAACATGCTTTCCCAATAGGTCCATACTCAAATGTGTTAGCAGTGCGGTGCCTATTCGACCACCATTGGTTATCTCTTCTGGCGTTCGAGTAGTGGATTTATTGGATAGAGTAGGCCTTGACAAATGAGCCCCAAAAGGGCTGCAACCTGCAGTCTACAAAAAAAAAATGAGTATTTTCAGGCCTGTTTTACATGTATGAATTTTTAAACGATGCGTCTTTTCAACTTAGTTCATTTGAATTTTATTATTATTATTTAAAGTTTGCTTTAAATTGGAAAAAGGAGACTACTTATAACTACTATTTACAACTACAACTAACGTACAACTACTATATACAAATTGCTTATCAAAGCATGTTCTGATGTGTTGCATTTCTGCACAAACCTAGTCTTAATGTCACCAATAAAAGCTAATTTTGTAACGTTCGCCTCTAGGTGAAGATCGGACATTCTTGTTTCGAAGGGACGATCAAGAAACATCCTCAGCACTGTATTCTGAGCGACCTGAATTTTGTTTATATGAGTTTGTGCACATGATTTCCACACCGGAGCTGTGTAGAGGATTGAAGGGGGTTTGATTTGAGTGTAGACAACCAGTTTGTTCACCCTTGAGAGGCGGGATCTGCGGCATATCAGCGGATACAGACACCACTGACAAACAGACGTAATTCTTCCAGTAAATTATCTTCAAAACATAGGACTGCAGTAACGACATCTCGCGGAAAACAAGCTTGCTCGCTGATACCAAAAAAATGTTGCATGCAAGAAAAACCCAATATATATAAAAACGTCAAAGTGATCCGATGCTAGCGCTGCGGTGAATAGTTCGCGGAAACGATAACATTCAAACCAATCGTTAAATGAAAAGTTACGTCTGTTTGTCTGTACAGACACCTATCCAAGGGAGAACAATTGACTACGGTTTTTTCTGCATGCGAACGGAAAAGGAGCTTTTCATCGAACAACATCCCTATATAGTTTACTTCGGCAGACCACGACTCAACCCTTGTGCCATCCATGATTACAGTACAAGATGGAGCCGGTTTTAGTTTGGGTGATTGCCGATGGAGGAACATAAATGTTTGAGTTTTAGAGGCATTGATTTTGATTTTCAACGTGTTGGCATAATCAGCAAAGGCGTGAAGGCATCGTTGAAGTTTTTTCATTATTTCGCATCCTTCCTTTGGCGGCTATTGCGGTATCATCTGCGAACAGAAGAAAAAAACACGCAACCGTCTCCGAGAGGAGGAATTTCGGACGTGTAGATGCTGTAAAGCAGTGTTCACTCGGCTGTCGACAAAAGCAGGCCACTCTCGATGTGTGCCACGCGATCGTCTGTTTTCTCGGCAGCAACCATTGTGTGGTTCTCCTCATTGTTCTTCATCAGCAGTTCTTTCGGTCGATGCGTCGTCGACTTTGGAAAGCAACCGTTTCGTGATTAGTGTGTGAGTGCTGACCACGTTTTGCGTCCATTGTTGCAATGGACGCGCTCTGACCCTCGTTGGCGTAACTGTCAGTCAATGAAACTACTAGAAGCGGTTCCAGTTCTGATGGAGGAGGCTTTTTGGATAGTGGAAGATAAAGTATTTATTGTGTTGTACCTTTTGACTATAGTTTTAAGATGTATTGTATAGTGACCAAGAATCCTCGGCTCTGTAAAGTTAATTCGGTTGAGCCTTATCAAATAAATTAATAAACAAAAAAAAAAAAGATGCTGTAAAGCAAAGGGTCCAGCAGACTGCCTTGCGGGACTCCTGCTGGAAAGGAAAACATGTCTGAAAGACAACCATTCAACGATACCTTAAACGACATTTGCTGGAGGTAGTTACGGGTGATTTTAACAAGTTGAAAGTTACAAAGCTTGTATACAAGCCCATCGTGCGAGACATTGTCAAACGCCTTTTTCAACCTCTAGTAAGGCCATGGTTGTGGACTTGAATACAGCTTTGTTACTTCGGATGTTATTCATCACCCTTACTAGCTGGTGATTGGTGGAGTGCCCCTTCCTGAACCCGAACTGTTCCGGAAGGAGAATGTTGTTTTCCTCGACAAACTTGAGCAAACGATTGAGAAGAAGGCTGCTTGCCCTAATAAAAAAAATACCATAAACGGATGATAACACAAATGATTGAACTATTCAACAAATTGTTTGGATTATACCCAGAACACGCCGTTAAGGAAAATAACCATAACAATTTTATTAGGGTGGTCTGTAGCTTGAAAGCAATGTTGGATCCTTACCGGGTTTGCGGATTGGTATAATTTTTGCTACCTTCCACAGGCTTTGAAAGTAGTGCAGCTCCAAGCACAGCGGTCAAAAGAGACTGCACTTTCATGCTGAGTCTCTTCAAGATTAAGTTGAATATACCGTCCACCAAATGTTCTTGGTACATTTCAGCGCTGAGCAAATCTGCTACACTGTAATCATATCCACTGGAGGCACAACACAAGGGGAGGCATCTAGGTTTTGTACGCATTGCGCATCCTGATCTTCGAGCGGTCTTAGGATTGTCGAGCCAAGCAAATGCGATGAAGCGACATGCTCGTCGATTGCATTTGCTTTCTCCTTTGAGGTGATAAAGAGCCGATCGTCGTCATGTTCGTCTGAGAGGAGGAACGGGTTTGGAGTAAATTTTTAAGTTCTTGACTCACCATCCAGAATTCTGGACATTTTTATATTTCGGAGTGTGTCCATTTTGGAAGCAATCTGCCTGTTCAAATCGGCCATTTCACGTTTTTTTTCCCCAGCTCTCCAGGCAGTCCTCTGAAGCTGGCGTCTACGAACATTTCTCAATCGAATCAGTAATTGGGTGTGGAAATCAATAGCAACAAACTTATCCCTCACAGGAACTTGCCGAACACACGCCTCATCAGCCACGGATATGGCCTGTTGGAGTCCTTCCAACGCCCGGTCGATGTCATCTACGGTTTCGAGCAGTGGATTTTCTCCGATGTTTCTGTCCACTATTAGTCCGAACTGCACCCAGTTGACGAAAATTTCCGTCAGTTCATCCGCTGAGAACAGATCGGGGTTGTTGTTTTGCATTGTTGGTTGTCTCCAGAATCCAAGAGGGGATGATGAATCCGAGTTGCCTGTTAGCTTTGGCTATGATATCCATGTAATGTAGCTTAAATGTCAAAGTAGAGTCAAGTGTAATTCATAGATCACGAACGTTTTCCACACGCTGCAGAGGTTGGTTATCGAGCGTATAATTAAATTCAATAGGTTTTTTAGCTTGCGATGGGAAGTGATGATATTGCATGTTTAAACACTCAACGTGATAAAATTCCTAGAGCACCACTCTTCGATACTATCAATCAGATGCTGCAACCGCAGGCAATCTGTTAAGCATCGCACAACCATGTTTGCATAGAATGACCGGCAGCCAGTTCGAATATCAAACCGATTTCGTTAATGAATATCGATAATAGCACCGGTCCCAAATTCTTGTTGCCTTGAGGAACGCCTGAGTTGTTTGAAAAATATTCTGATTGATAAGAGCCGTGTGAGTCCTTGAGAGGCACCGAGCTTCTCAAGTTTGGCAAGTAGAATGGCATGATCAACCCGGTCGAAGGCAGTCTTGAGATCCGTGTATACGACGTCCACATGTGCTTCTGTCTTCATATTCTGTAGGCATAGGGAAATGAAAGGAGCAAGGTTTGTTGAGACCGAAAGTTTGGGGTGGAAACGATACTGCACTCTAGTGTTTGGTACAGCATTTATTTGCGTTAAATCATGCAGGCTGAAACCACCCAAAAAGAGCACAGCAGGATTCAGGTATGTACTGGTTGTAGTCGCCAAATAGCAGGATAATACAGCACCAATGGAACTGGTATGGTTATCAACGCAGATCAAATTACATTTACGTTCAAGAGGAAGGTATATAACGCCGATGCTCATAATGTTGTGTGATGTCGTAATCTTCACTCATAACTGTTCAAGAGAAGTGCTGACCGGAGCAGGATCGAGGCAACAGTTCAGTCGTTTGGAAACCACCCCTACGTGATTTGGCACTGTGTACGAAAAACTGAGAACATACTGCCAAATAATTGTGCTGAGTGAATTCGACCATCTAGATCATGGATAGTACCTATGTATTTGGACAGAATGAACCAGGAGCTGGAGCAATTCTTTTGCGGACCCAGCATCCAGTAAGGTGCTAGTCTCAAATCCGGTCGCCGGTCGGTATAAGGTCCAGAGAGGAGTGCCATATCGAGCAAGAACTACGAAGTATAGGATACTTGAGAATTGGCGATGTATAGCAGGTCAAGTCCTGATGAAGGGCTTAGGATCAGGAAAAGCACGAATCAGGTTTGGCGGAAGTGATCGAATTCTACAGACAAAGTAACAAATTAAGTCTTCAGCATAATCACAATGTACTCATAGTAGCTTTTTTTTATTAATCACTTAGTTTTACTTTTCCCAAAAACCATACGGTGGCAGTAACCAGGTGCTGCTCCTAGGGTTTTGATTTTCTGTACGGGTTATGCTTACGATGTACGTGTGTACTTTTCGATTCTTATAGTTATGCAATGCACGTTTTGGAGATAGATGGTTGAATTATGTGTTCTGATTTGTGTTGAAACTTTGTAACCTTCATTATTGTATGAATCGATCTCGCCAGAACTGGCTGGTCTAACAAACACCTTTTTTTCTGTTCCTACTCAACTACCGGGCTTGGCTAAATTTTAGCTATCAACGCGTTAGGCATTAGTACGATATTATTCATCTATATAAAAAACAGAAACATGCATTTGAACTATTTGGGTTTGGCCAAATTAAAAAAAAATAACAACCTCGGTTTGGTTTGCCGGAAAGTATGCCAAACAGGAGAAAAGATTTTTAAAATGATGTCGTTTTCCGGTAAAACTACGTTTAACGAAACATGTAACTTAAAAAAAAGCAGGAGGGGAGAGAATGATCATTTCGATCGACTTTAGCGGGCTTGTGTGTATGCTTAGTTAGGAGACGGCATAGTCTTCAGCCGTTCAAATGCAGCCTTCTCGAGCGCTTCGCGGTGATCCGGATGGGAAATCTGGATCAGCTCGTAGGCACGCTGACGCAGCGTTTTACCAAATAGATTGGCGATACCGTACTCGGTGACAACGTAGTGCACGTGGGCACGTGACGTTACGACACCGGCGCCTGTCGGAATTGGAGAAATTTCGATTAGCAAATTAGCATCACGACTAAATCACGCTGCGTGAGTTGATTGCTTACCTAGCTTGAGCGTTGGCACAATCTTGCTTTGTCCCTTGTTGGTTATCGAGGGCAGCGCAATAATTGGTTTACCCTTGCCGTCGAAACCTTCCGCGGCACCACGGATGAAATCGACCTGACCGCCGAAACCGGAGTACATGCGGGTTCCGATGGAGTCGGCGCAAACCTGACCAGTCAGATCCACCTCGATGGCAGAGTTGATGGCAGTCATCTTCGGGTTACGGGCGATGATGCCAACGTTGTTGACGTAGTTGATTTCGAGCATTTCTGGTGGGAAGATTTGAAGATAAGACGACGATCGAATAAGAAGTGGATTGATTAAACTTACCGATAAATGGATTGTTATCAACAAAGTCGTACAGCTTCTTGGTACCGATCAGGAATGATCCGACGATGCGACCCCGATGGTACGCTTTCTTATCATTGGTGACACAGCCCTTCTTGACTAGATCCACAATACCGCCGGCGAACATCTCCGAGTGGATGCCGAGGTCTTTGTGGTTGTGCAGCGCATTCAGCACGGCGTCCGGAATGTTGCCGATGCCCATCTGCAGAGTGGCACCATCTTCGACCAGGTTTTCGGCGATCAGCTTACCAATCTTGGTTTCCGTCTCGCTCATTCCCTTACCACCGTGCTCTGGCAGGGGGATGTCCACATTCACGGCCGCATCGAAGTGCGATTCGTGAATGATGGAATCTCCAAATGTACGAGGCATCTGTTTGTTGACCTGGGCAACGATGACTTTGGAATTTTCCAGGGCAGCACGCACGCAATCGACGCTAGTTCCCAGCGTGGCGTATCCATGGTGGTCCGGTGGAGAAACCGAGACAAAAGCTACGTCCGGTTGGATCAGCTTTCGCCGGAACAGAATGGGGATTTCGTGCAGAAAGATTGGTACGGCGTCACCGCGGCCATCGGCAACGGCCGCACGCACGTTGCCACCCATGAAGAGAGACTTGGAGCGGAAGATGTCCTTGTACTCGGGAGCACAGTACGAAGCGGGACCTTCGGTATGCATATGGACCACCGTGATATCTCGGAGGTTGTTCTCCTTGGCATGCTTGGTCATAGCATCCAGCAGGTGGATCGGAGTGGCGGCTGCTCCCTGGGCGAAGACGACATCACCTGGAAAGCAATGGAATGAATGAAAACTTCTAAACATCTTAGGTTATATTGAATGCAGATGTAATCATAGGTTGCAAAATATAATGGTATGGGGAATTGGACACACTTGATTCCTCTGTTTTCTCAAAATCCAGAAAGAAAATTCTCAATAACTTTATGGATATTCAACCAAAACGTTAAATTTATACAGCTCCAGCAGCTGTGAATAAATAGAATCAATAATAATTATTGAATTGATGCTGTTTCTTTTGATCTTTTGTTCAGTTTGATTTGAAGTTGAAAGCTCAGTTAGGAGAGACTTGATTCCTCAAGAACTACACACACTTAATCCTGAGATATGAAGGTGAAATAAAAATAAAACTCTGTTTGGGGATTCGATCACGGGATGTACTTAAAAAATAATATTCAAAAACAAGGGGTTCAAGTCCTCTAATTCTCGAAACCACGTTTCCTGGCAAATTTAAGAAAAAAACGTACTTTTAGGAACGTAGAGATCATGTCAGAAGGCTCGAGAGAATTAAAAAAATCAATCATTAAAGGTTCCTGAGTCCGCTCTTCCTTACCAAACTTCATGTAGGGGAAGACGGGGCACATCACAAATCTTATATTTTTAAAACTGCACATAAGTAGTACTTTTCAACAATGATTCTACGATGCACCGTTTCCAAAATTATTTAGACATATTTAGTAACTATCAAGAAATTGATGAAAAAGTGCCGAACGAAAAAAATAATCCATTCTTTGTAATTGTAAATTCTAATAATCAGTAACTCTTTGTTTGTTACATTTGTTACAACTTTCAATTTATGTTTCAATCTGGTGGTAGTATTTTGTTTTGATAAAATATAGTCTTTCAGCGTGAGAAGCAAGGATGCTAATGCAAAACAAATAATCGTTAGTTCAACGACAAATGAACTTAAATTAAATTTTGAAGAACACGTTTACAGCAGAACATCAAGCTAAGTTGCTTTCATTTGAAAAGTCTTGACTGCATAATGAAAGCACAATATGATATCAAATTTCGTTGCATTATGATAGGAACTGCAAACTTTAATATCGATTTGCTTTCATTTTGTTAACCGACTTTGCTCGGGTATGTTGCCCCATCTATCCCTAATCAAAATGGGATCAAATCTCCCCTAAATTTTCTAAAATGCGTTTTGCATATCCTTCAGAAAAATGTACTTTTGAGAATTCATGTAGGGTAAATGATGGTTCCGGCACCCATTGATCCGGCAACCAAAATTTAAACGTTAATTCCACTGTATTTTATCATCAAAACACCTCGATGAATGTATACGCACTACAATATTCGGTTGATTTCGAGTTGCCGATAATAGAACAGAAGGTTAACACTCAGTTCAAATGGAAAGGTTACCGAAGAAAATAGACTACCGACAATAGTCACACTCACCTGAGAAGTTTGGAGCATTGTAAAAACGCTTTCAACCAGTTTTGGACATTTATGTCGATTGGAATGAATAGAATAGTAAGCAGCATATAAATGTAAACAAACAAACACGTCATATGTATGCGAAGCGGTGAGTTGCTGTCTTAACATTGACGAAAATCCATACGGGACTGATGTGCGATTATAGATAGTGCATATCGTCGCCTTCTGTTTGTCAGAGACGAACTAGCCCACGAATAAAGATAAACAACAACAACAACAGCACTCTGTTTGAATGATCTCGAACTGCAGTAACCCTGTCGAACTTGAACGTTTATTTTTAAATCTGAAGTGTCTTCTGCTTTCTCTTTCTGTGGTTTAAAATAGCTTAATACTAGGTACCAAATTTGCAACTAAACTGGGTGAAGAAGAAACCGCACTAAGCTAGTTACATTGGCAACTGGCAAGCAGTGGCGAAAGTGACAACAAAATTAGTAGCCAAGCGTACCAGTGTGCGTGTGTCCCTAGATATTCTACTTATTTACGGCAAACATACTTTTGAACATAAAAACCAATAAATGTTCCATAAAATATTGAAAAACGTTCAATAAAAAAACATCCAAATAATCCATAACACTTCGGAGAAAATCCTTAAAAAAGTGTGAATGATCCATAAAAAATATCAATATGATCCATATTTAATGTAAAATTTAGCAACACAATTGTAAAAATGTACCGCTAAATTTCTAAGGAATGAGCATTGAAATTGTACGAATAACCCATAAACATATTGCAATTGATCCATAATACATTCAGCAGTGAACCTTAAACTAAAGAAAGTGATCCATAGAAAATCATGTTTGTGCACTTAAAAATATAGCCATGTTTGTATTAATGAAAGCAACTTCCTCCGAGCAGTCTCGGTTTGGACAGCTTGAAGCTGAAATGGGTTTTATTAAACTAATATAAAATCAAAACCAATCTTAATGCTTATAATAAAACCTATTTCAACTTCAAGCTGTCCAAAACGAGACTGCTCTGAGGAAGTTGCTTTCATTAATCCGAACATTCTTTAAGAACAACATCGGATATAACCTCAGAATGTCAGAGGGATCAACACCACCGTTGAGTGAAGAACAGAACAGCGATAGAAACTGTACGCTTTGTGAAGGCCATGACCACGTAGATGATATGGTCCAGTGTGATGTCTGCGATTTCTGGACCCATTATAGTTGTGCTCGTAAGACAACAGCTGTAAAGGAGGTTCCGTAGACGTGCTCTAAGTGCACAAATATACTGAAGGTGGCAAAAGGAACCAAGAAGTCTGTCCCAAAGAAACCACCTTGCAGAAATAATAGAGCGAGGGGTGATGCCGCAACCGAATCTGGAAAAGGAAGTACCAATGAGGTCAGCCTGGAAGAATCCCTAGACCATTTGCTGCAGGAGAAAAGCGCAAATAAGAAAGCGCTGGAGGAAGAGAAATTCCTGCATGAAAAGCGATAGGAGATTTTCAAACCGAGAGTTATCTTCCGTCACTCTTTCAACAAAGATTAGGCTAGATTTAGCATTTAGAGATTCAATTATTATTTTAGTTAAGCACGCAAACGATGTAGAATGAGCTACTTACTAGTTACTTAGGGTAAATCATGTATATAGCGTTTAGGAACAAATTGTAGGATACCAGATTTTAGGATCAAATTGTAGTATCTAGATTAAGCAATTCCTCTTTTTTTTCTCGTTCATACTCCGACCTATCTAAGGTTTGGTTCAACGGAACTGTGAGTTCACAGTTCCTTTGAACCAAACCTGGCTTCTGTCATTTCTGACAGCGACCGTTACCGTAGCTCTCTGAATCTCCCACAGGGTTGTCACTGGGTTTGGCGGTACAGGGTTATCCCGATATTCCGAGCAGCCATGATCCATAAATTAGACGTATATTATTCACGTTTTGGACACTGTATTATTAATTTTGATCCATAAACCATGAAAAATTGCTCCATTACTGCTTAACTACTTAGATTTATTGTCCTGCCGTGTTTTTAGGTAGATGTGCGGAGCGGTGGTCAAGCGTCTAGAATTAGCTTCCAAAAGAAGCTTCTATAATAATCTTCTTAAGAAAAAATGAAAAATAAATGTTAATTTTATGGATCATACCTAGGGTAGGTGTTCCAGTTGTTGGTAGACGTGCTTAAAGGGTGATACGGTCAAAATTTGGTCAAGGGAAAACGCGTGTAAATCGGTGAAATCGTTTATTTAAAAAATCAAATTAAATTTCTTTTTCAAGTTCAATTAGTATAAAATTCAGGAAAAATATTCAGTTAGGCTTCCGCTTTTCCAAATCCGAATTGCCGGGCCTTACGCTTGACCCCTGCCATCAGATTTTGTACAGCCACCTTGTCCACCTTCTTCGCCGCAGAAAGCCAGTTTGCCTTGAACTGCTGCTCGCCCTTAGCAGTTTTTTTGGTCTTCTTTAGGTTCCGCTTGACAATAGCCCAGTATTTCTCAATTGGGCGGAGCTCTGGCGTGTTGGGAGGGTTCTTGTCCTTGGGAACCACCTGCACGTTGTTGGCGGCGTACCACTCCATGGCCTTTTCACCGTAATGGCAAGATGCCAAATCCGGCCAAAACAGTACGGAACAACCGTGTTTCTTCAGGAAAGGCAGCAGACGTTTATTCAAACACTCTTTCACGTAAATTTCTTGGTTGACAGTCCCGGATGCTATGAAAATGCTGCTTTTCAAGCCACAGGTACAGATGGCTTGCCAAACCAGATATTTCTTTGCGAACTTTGACAGTTTCATGTGCTTGAAAACATCTGCTACCTTTCCCCTTCCTTTTGCCGTATAAAACTCCTGTCCCGGAAGCTGCTTGTAGTCGGCTTTGACGTAGGTTTCGTCGTCCATTACCACGCAGTCAAACTTCGTCAGCATCGTCGTGTACAGCCTCCGGGATCGCGCTTTGGCCGTCGTATTTTGTTTATCATCGCGATTTGGAGTCACTACCTTCTTGTAAGTCGATAGTCCGGCTCGTTTTTTGGCTCGATGCACGGTTGTAGACGATACATCCAGCTTATTTGCGGCATCTCGGAGAGAGAGGTTAGGGTTTCGCTTGAAACTACCGGCAACTCTCTTTGTCGTCTCAGCGGCTTCCGGTTTTCGATATCCCCCCGATCCAGACTTCCTGACTGTCGACAAACGTTCCCCAAACACTTTAAATACATTTGTAACGGTTGATTTGGCAACTTTTAGCGATTTTGCCAACTTTGCGTGCGAGTAGCTCGGATTTTCGCGATGCGCGAGCAAAATTTTGATACGCTGCTCTTCTTGCTTGGACGGCATTTTGACAACTGAAGAGTGAATTCCAAAATCAAAATAGGAGCAACATTCTACACACACACACCTTCAAAATGAGGGGTGTTCAGGTTTTTTAAATGCAAAATTGAAAGAAATACGTCAAGTTGATATTGACCAAATTTTGACTGTATCACCCTTTATTTTGGTGTGTTCCAATTATAGTCTATATCGAGGGGAGCGACACATCCAAATCGCAATTCTAGATGCTCAACATATCTACCACTAGCGAATCAATCTTCGAAAAATATTCTTTCATT